ATATATTTATAAATATATATATAATATATATTTAAATAATTAATTATTTATTTATTAAATAATATCTGTTAATTATATAATCATTATTTTAATATTCTATTTAGATAATATTGAAATGTTGTAATTTATACGATATGTTTATGATATCAAAACTAAATTAAAAAAAGTTTCAAATAAATTTGTACTGACAGCATTAAAATTCAATGTTTAAGAGCAATTATAATTCATCGTGTCCAAATGTGAAGAAAATAATTGAAAAAATTAAATTTTTATAATTTAAATTATTTTATAATTTTGTATTGTTCATCTTAATTTTTATTTTTTTTATTATTCATCTTCAATTATTATCAATTATTTAAATTATTTTAAAAAATTTAAATTTAAATTTTTAAAGATATTATATTTTGTTAATTATTTGCTAATAAAATTTAGATTTATTTAATTTGTAATATTGCATTGTTTATATCACAAAACAATTTTTTATGTGTAATAAAATAGAAATTTTCGTCTTTTATTTTCATTTATATTAATTTTTTGTTAATTATAAGATAAAATATTTGAAAGTTGAAGCATTTATTTGAAAAAACAGATATGTATATTTAATAAATTTTATTGGTGTTAAATATAAATTTTTTTAAATATTATTTTATTTAAAAAATCTTATTTAATAATTCTTAAAACTTTTTATATTGTATAAATAAATTATAAATAACAAAACAATTATAATTTTTTTTTTTTGGAGAGTTTATGAGAAAATCAACAACTTCGTTTTACTATCTTGATTATTATTCCTTTCCTAGTAATTATCTAGCAATTTTTCACAAATTATAAAAAGCATTCTTGTAATTCCATAAATATCTCTTAAATATTACATTGGATTCTGCCAAGATGTCTTCAACTGTAAAAGAACTTCGCGTCTTTTTCTATCATGCTTCTGACATTATTGTTATAATTAATTTTAATCATACGATCTATTCTAGAATGTAATATATTTATTTATAATATTTAGTTTATTATTTTCAAATATAAGAAAATTAGATTTAAATTGTCTATACATTAGATTAAAGAAATTGTTTTCATTCTTCAATGAAGAACAATTCTTCGTTTTTGTTGTTATCGTTTTGCAATTATCGATAATGGGAAATAAGATCTTCTTTTTCTCAGCCAGTAATAGATAATTAAATTGTAAAATTATCTGTCATTGCTCATAACAATATTAAAAAAGAAGAAATAAAAAAAATGTGAATAATTTATATAATTAGTATAATTTGTATAATTAGAAAAAGTGCATGTATATTTGTTATATTGGAATTATAATTATTTTTATTTTATTTTTATTTTATATTTTATTTTTATTTTTATAAATATAGTATATTTTATATATTATTATTTTTTTTAATTATATTCTTTAAATTGTTTA